ATACGGTTCATTAAATGAAACAGTGTGTTATTAAAAAAAATGGCAACAATAATTCAAGTAACATCTGAGAGGCCAAAAAGGGCCTGTTTTAGTGAAATAAGTTTTTTGCATTTATTAATAGTAGACTCTCACTTTACATCATGGAGGAGGGTCACAATTGTGCACTGAGAATTTTTTCAAATTTTTTACAAAAAAACATTCATTTTTGTCAAACTTCAGCTGAATAAATTATTTGAATACAATTCTGAACAGATTATGTCAACTCTGACATACAGCTATTACTGGCAATTAGGGCTGTGCGATTATGGAAAAAAAAACCTATCGCAATTTCTTTGATCAATTTTGCGATTTAGATTTTAATCACGATTCTGACACATACAGACATGCTTTACAGTCATTAATGCATTCAGTGTGAATTTGAAACATATTTCCAAAAGAAAACCAATTAGAGCTTTATCAAAAAGCTGTAACATGTCTCTAGAACAGACATAAGGCAAAATAATCACTAAGTAAAGGTGTAACAAAATGTCTCTAGAATAGACATATGGCAGAGAAAATAAAAAAATCCCGTGTCCAGGGATTTTTTTTTTTGCCATGCATTGGTCATAGAGCTCTTTCTGGCGTTGCCTCAGATGTTGAACTAGATTTGTTGCACCAAGTTCACACGTTCTCCGTCTGCAGTGCGTATACAGTATGTGTATGCGGTGCAGAAGCAGCACAGACTCATTTTGCTTTCGCACAGGACGCGTTTGCAGTCCGCTCCTGATCCGTGGCTGTTTACCACAAACACAACATTTATCCATTATTTTGATTTCAAATCCAAACGTTGTTTCTGAACATGCTTTTATCACAGTACAGTAATACAATCTTTCATAGACATATTCACGTTTAAACTCAATAAATATAACTTTGTTTAACTACCACCACGAGTGCCATCTATTATTGCCTTGTTTATCTAAAAGTGCACTTTTCCTTGTTTTAAATCGAGCCAAAAAGCCATGTGTTGACTGTGAAACAGTAGACTTTAACTATATGCATTTATGGTGTAATTACTAAATTTCCGTGTCAATCCATGTTAATTTTTACCACGAATAATGTGCTGCCACTTTAATTCAGCGTGTGCAGCACAGCAGAAATAGACTCCGTGCGGAAACGATCAGACGCACCGCTCCTGCAGCGCACTGCCGGACCGTGATCGCGTGCAGTGTGAATGCTCCGATCCGTTAACATGGGCGCGGACAAAATACGCACCACAGACGGAGTGTGTGAACCTGGCATTACGTTTGTATGTCCGCCCGGTCTGTTCTGTTCTCGTGCTCCATTTAGGCGCGCTGCATTCTGATTGGTTAGGATAGCATACTGCGGGAGGTCAGGGGCGCGGAAAATCGTGCTATAAAGCGATTTAGAAATCGCGCAAGCTTAAATTACGATTTTATGACGATTTCGATTAATCACACAGCCCTAGTTCCATAACAGTAACTTTTTTACGCATTGCGTTGCGTCGCGTAAACATAAAACCATGTCTGCATTTGTGATCGGAGAAATGACAAACAACAAGCGCTACTTTACACTGCTCAAAACTCACATTTGAATCATCCGTGGCAAACCCTTAAAATGAAAACGTATGTACAGTCTGTGAGTCAGAACAGCCGGCATTGTAGTCTACTCTTCCAGGATCAAGAAACAGTCCTCCATAAAATGCACTGGACACATCTGAATATTTGAGTTGAAGTGTTCTGGAACAGTGTTGTAAATACAACTTAACCACTGATTTCTAGTCATGTCCTCTTTTGGAAGGCCAAACAAAGTAGTTTCACACGGCGGGCTTGCGGCAACCACATGTGACGACCCCGGGCTGGACTCCGGTTCATCCACGGTGAAAGCCGATCCAAGTTGATGTATTTCCTCAGCGACCAGCAATGGTTCAGCTCCAGGCATGACGAAGCGGATATCGTCCTCATTTGGAAGGCCACACAAAGTAGTTTCACTTTCACAACAAAACACACAGCATCTCCACAACATGGTGGCGGTGGCAACAACAATACTACAGCGAGAATAAAAGTTACGCCTTCTTTCTTTGCGTGAACATTTGGGTGGCGTTATGCAAATCTTCCCACATAGTGATGTAGATATGTGGGGGCGTGTTAGAACGAGCCATTTTAGGAGGGCGTGGCTGACTCTTAACTTTTATAAAGAATATCTCTTTGGATTTGAGACTTTAGTCTTCGCAACTTTACAGATCTTCTTTATGCACCAAGAGCTTGTAACACTCCAAAGAGAAAGGAAAACTTGAAATCGCATCATATGACCCCTTTAATGAGCCATTAAGACAAAAGGCATAGTATTTTCATACGTGGATGAAATATGAAGATAACTGCAACTGCAAAAGTAGTAACACTGCCTCTTATTTGTAAGGGTTTATTTTTCCAAACAGATGACGGAAGAGTACAGTGAAAGAGAAGATGCTGTGGAAAAAACACTGTGCAGTAGTTTGAGCCATGGTGATATTAATAATCCAGTCTCTTTTATTTCAGATGTCACTGATTTATGGGAGTCAACACCACATATGCCATACTCCCAGAGGGGGCACATTGAAAATGTTATTGGAAATGCAAAGGCTGGAATCTGATCCAGCTGGCTGTTCAAGAAAGCAAGAGCTGCTGACCACCTCCCTCTCAAAATGATGAGGCCAGCTTTCCCATTTCCAATCAAATAACAACATCTGCTTCGATAACAATGTCATAAATCACAACACAAAGACAACGAGGGGTTTGATAAACAGAAAAGGAAAAGCACCGATGGCATGTGGATGTGGTCGTTCTCACCTTCTTCAACAGAGCTAGAGATTATAAAACATTCTAAAATAGACATGTTAGACACGGTTAAGCGATAGTGACAGTTCATGTTGTGTATCAGTAGCCCATTGGGCCTGGATGTGCTGGGACAAACACACTCTACTGAAACTGCTAGCGGCGGGCTATTAGCCTCTTCAGTTAGTCAAACAATGGCTTCTACCAACTGAAATTTAGCGTTAAAACGAACATAAACAGCACCACTTACCTCTATACACTTCGGGAAACTATCCCTCTAGGACTTAAGCCCCTTTCCAGGGAACAATTTTCGTCGACAGAAGTAGAAAAGTATTGGGGAAGCGAATGAACGTCAGCGGAGGATTGTGCGAAACTGACAGTCACACAGACCCGAGAAGGAGGGAGTGAGGAGAGAGAGGCCCAGCGCTTTAGCCGCCCCGCTAACTGACGGATATTTCGACGATTGCGCATTAAATATATGAGGATACGCACGCGAGTTACAATATCACACGTTAAACGTCACGGCGAGCTGAACATACGGAGAGGACATTTTATTTAACAGTCAAATGTGGCACGAATTCCTCCCCGTTTGCCCTCGGGTGCGAGTCCCCATTCGTCCATTAGAGCGCTGCTATGTGTGTATGTGTATGTGAACCGCGCTGCTGCTGCGCGCGAGCGAGCGAGCGTTTCGACATTTTACGACATTCTCCCATCCTTGACGACTCTCGAGGACCACAACATTACCTAAAGGCTAGTTGAAATTTAGATCGTGAATAACCCATGAATGATCATAATCGCTGACTACTGACTCTTGTGAATCTATGTAGATTTTAGTGCGATTTGTGAGTCTTGACTGGTGTACGTTACTGTGTTGTATTAGGTAGTTGGTCGCCTCATGCTCTCTAGTGGCAGAATGCGGCAGCACCACTGATCTATATATATTCTCTATTATAGATCAGTGGGCAGCACTCATGTACATATGATGCAGCTACATTAACTAAAGGCGCTTGTCTGTTTTTATGGGTTTGTCGTTATAATTTTCTTACAAACAACACTACACAGAGTTAGCCTTTCTGTTAAAAGCAATAACGTTTGATAACGTTTAATAACGGTCCAATGATGAGGTGCCGATTTTTATTTATTTTTAAACCCTTAAACCGTGGGGATAATTTGTGTACGCTTTTCTCAGTCATTTACTATTAGATTCCCCATACTTTACCATTAACTATTATTATTCTGTATTTCAGTGTTTCCAATCTTGTGAATCCGCTCACCCACGATTCGTTCAGTGCATAGAGGTCCAGTCTATTTCTGAAGGTTACGCCAGTAGGGGGGCGTCAAGTGAATATTTCTGTGTGTTCTGAACCGAGTCAACATTTTGGAACGAGTTGTGTACTCGTAATCTACCAGAGAAGAAAAAAAGAAATATCAGAATGTATAACCACTTTTGATATCATCATCATCATTATGATTATTATTACAAATACAGATTCAGTACATTTTTGCTGTACATTATTAGCTACTAAATTTCTAATGTACGTTTTTTTTTAGTAGACTGTAATTATTTAATGTCTATATATGTCTATGATAAAACAACTCTCAATGTTTAACTCCATATAAATGTTTTTCTCTGGCTTTTGTTTTATTTATTTATTATTTAACCAACAACCTTGTTCAAATGCGGCTATACTTGTAATTCACAGCAGATTTCAATATTATTATTATCTTATTATCTTAAAATTTCTGCATCCACAAATTTGCAAGACTCCAGAAATAATGTTAAAGCATCATATACGCTTTCCTTCATGATGCCAACTACTTAGCCTGACTTACAAATAGTTTTAAATGCCGGTGTTCTGACGATTTGTGCACCTGGACACACCGAGCCGACTTCAAAGAACTAGCAGCGAATACTGTGCCAACCACTAGTATTGGCACCCTCGGTAAATATGAGCAAAGGCGGCTGTAAAAATAAATCTGCATCGTTTATCTTTCTGATCTTTCATTCAAAAAATTCTAACCTATCATAATGGAGTAAGTTCAGTGCCGTGTTTTGCAGAGCTGCACGTGAAACCGGAGATGAAGAATGACTGACAAGCGTCCCTTTCGTTTTCAACCAATCGAAGTCGAGTATTCCCCCGAGGCAGTGGCCAATCAGAAAGAGCGGAGCGGTATTTGAATCACCAGCAGGCCCTTTGTGTTTTACGGCTTGTTTTGAGTTGAGTTGAGTTGAGTTGAGTTGGACAGGGAGCACTAAGCGAAGCTAAACTGTCCTTTTTTAAAAACGTTTTTAAGGTTTTATTTAAGCAAGGGCCCTCGCAATTAGCATATTCGCCATGGAAATTCACGCTTTGGTGAGTATTTGATGCAGAAACATGTTTTTGATTTATCTGATAAAGTCTTGCTATGTGTAGCGTCAACCCCGCTTCAAGTAAGCTGGCTTAAATTGCTAAGAGCGGTGTTGAAGTGGCTTTTAGGAAGATTCCTTGAGTTTTTAATGACCTTTTCCCGTACAGCGCAATGCAAACAACCCTGTTTTTATCGGTGGCAAAGGCGGCCCTGTAAACGGCGCAGCGAGGAGGGCCGTGTTTGGCGAACTGTCCAACTTCAACGTTACCCACAAACCAGTTCAGACTAAGGTGCGTGTCTTTATTTACCACCATGCAACGTGTGCATTTGAACAGCATGTTGTTACATATTACTCTTTCCTCTCTGCTTTTCAGAAGGTTCAACCCGTGCTGCCTGTAAAACCAATTGCTGTTGTGCAACCCAAACGTGCCCAGGTACAGCACGAGATCCCCCAGCCTGCCCCAGCGTTGCCCCCTGCTCAAGCTGATGTGAGCATGAAGGAAGAGGAACTCTGTCAAGCCTTTTCCAACACACTCTTTCCAGTCGAAGACATCGATGAAGGGGACGCTGACATGCCACAGCTGTGTCCTGAATATGTGAAGGACATCTATGCGTATCTGCGAAGCCTTGAGGTACCTTACACTTAAAAAAAAAAAAAATGTAACATCTTTATTTGACCTTCATGCTTCCTACAGCTGCTGTCCTCTTGTTCCAGAGTCAGCAGTCTGTTCGTCCTCTCTACATGCGTGGCTATGATATCAATGCGCGGATGCGCGCGCTCCTGGTTGACTGGCTGATTCAGGTGCACTCCAGATTTCAGCTCCTGCAGGAAACCTTGTACATGACCGTAGCCATCCTTGATCGCTTTCTCCAGGTACGAGTTACCCAAAAGTTAATACAAAAGGAGTAGCTCTTTACAATAAGTTTCCATTTGTTAGTATTAG